TCAAATCAGACCAAAAGACAAATTCTACAAATTCCAAGCATGTCACACACGACTTCTCAACACAGGACACATACACTTACGGCTAGAACATACTCTTACAAGTTGAAATATCACAGTCCTAACATTTCAAATTCATGCCACACATCCTACATTATGTCACAGCTGCAGGACTGCCTCTGCTGTTAGCATTTACTGACAATCTTACTCATGTTTCTGCTACTGCTTCTGCAGATGAAGCCACCAAGGAAGAATAGCCATCAGAAATATCACAACAGCTTGGCAGCTAGGGCTTGCAACCTTGCCAAAGAAGAAACTCCAGTGACCTTCTACCTTTACAAATACCTGATGTGGTAAACTGAACATTTTACTGTATCTGAAGTACAGTATGTATGCCCTTTGTATAATGTCAGTTACAAAAAAACACACTTCTACAGCAACTTGTACAACAAACTTTACAATTCCAACATTCTTAAAAGTGCTGCACAAAAGTTTGCCAACTAGGCAAAATGTAGTAAAGTTGTTAAAGCCAGGCTACATAGCAACACTGATATTTATTTTTGCAGGCACAGTTTAAGTCTTCTGAGATGCCATTAGTGATTCCAGTCATAAAGTAAAATAAAATAATAGAAGTTTACTCATACAGTAACTGGTTACAACATAAGTCAATGGCATAAGTCTAAATTCATCATCAGTCCTGTCCAATCGGAGGCACCATAGATGCAAGCAATTTCACACTCTGCTTACCCCTTAGCACTTTTAAAAACCATATTTTGAAACTTTCTAAAAGCTGTACATCACTCTGTGTCCAGCTCAAGGATCAAATATTACAAAGCAGTAAGTGCATGAATTACTATTTATTCAGCTTTGAGATATTCAATTGGCCATTGTTACCCTCTCAAATAACTTTTATGCAATCTCTGGCAGTCTGATTATGTCAATATTTGTGAATGTCAAAGCGGTACATTGTTTTGCATGGAAATTGGTTGTTTTATATTGTAGGCTTGTAATTCTTAGGAATAACTCACTTAAATCTGTCCAAACAAGAGTCTAGTAAACATCTCGGTATGATAAAGTTTGAAACACGAAATCATAAATTATAATATAATAAATAATTATTAAAAAATTATATAATAATAATAATACATTTAATTCAATAATGTAATCAAACCAAAAACACTGAAATTTGAAATAGAGCACCAAGTTCGCACAGCACTGAGCTCAGTCACAGAATCGTCGCTGTCGTTACTTTCAGTGTCTGATGACGAATTTCCCCATGAATCACCATCGCTCAATTCTGCAAGTGATTCTAATTCACTATCACTGTTCTCTAGCTGGTCTAAAACCGCTTTTGACCTAAAGGGACGCTTTTTGGATGCCATGGACGTTCTCAATTTTCCAGGCAGAAAGTACAGTAAAAATGCAGGCAGAGCACTGGACAAAGCACTAGGGACAAAACTGAGGTGAAATGGTTTGATACAGTAATGTATTCCTAACAGATTACGGTGTATTGTGTGTATGTCATGTTTTTACTTTTTTTAATCTCCCGCCGGTTCCGCCCTCCTGCGTTGCAATGCTTGCAGGGATGGGAACCCGGAAGACAGATGTCAACATCGGTTGGAGGACACGGCTGGAGGACACAGCGGGAGGACATCGGGGGATCGTAGGACAAGGTAAATTGCACTACAGTTTAATCCCGAGTGTGGCTCGGGGTTACCACTTTTGGCACTAAAAATGAACCCCGAGCCACACTCGGGATTACCGCTAGGGCTGACTTTTATTCAACTCTGACAGTTCCTGTTTGAATAGGTTTTATGTAGCTGTTGCACACTGGAGTAAAACGTTTTTTACTGATCTGAAATGAGATGCATTGTTGTCTATGGGACATTGCACACAGGTGAGTAAAGATCAGTAATACAGCGTTGAGAACAGAGCAGTAAAACAAAACCAGAAAATGTTACATTTGAGCGCAGTAATTTACTTGTTTGTTTACTCATTTAGACCCCTTGCACATAGGAGTCATAAATTACTGATGTTCACACAGGAACTTGTGACGCCAGTGTGCTAGGGGCCACAATAGTAACAATGAAGAAGAATTTTACTCGTTTATATTCATCTATACACTATACACCTTTACTTGCCTATATTTGCCTATAAGCAACATTATTACACGTCTTTGCACACAGTTTTTGGCCCCTTGCACACTGCATCACAAGTTCCTAAGTAACAAGAGTAAATTATGATGCCCATGTGCAAGGGGTCTTATACCAAGGAGGAATTGGAAAGTTGTTGTAGTTGTAAGTCAGGTGTGGGGGGTTGTAAAGATTGTAAAACTTTTCATTTTTTATATGTCTATCACATTCTCATAGTTAGTTCAGAAAGATCCATTTAATTCGCTGTGGCAGCCTACAGTATTATTGGCACTATTGATAATTTAAATGGCAGAGTATTATATAGCCATTTTGGCAACTCTCTTTGCAGACATGTCGAGGGTATGTACAGTATGTATGTATGTATCTAAATTCTTACCAGAAATCAAGGGATTTGGGAATGTTAATAAATGGCTAGCAATTAGTAAAGTGTTCCAAACAATTTTGAGTGGAGGGAAAAACTACTTGCACTTTCATTATGGTCCTCATCATTTATTTCCATAAAGTGTTTGTTAATGTCTTTAGGATACCTGACCTCTGGCATGCAAGGATGTGTTCTGTTATCCTTGTAGCATTTGGAAAATAATCTTTCTTCTCACAATTTTTGGAAATTGCAGCTTTTCTCTCAGCAGAAATTGCACTGTGGAAATGTTTCCAAACTCTAAATGTTGGTCTCACCATTTTGCTGAGAGGAGGAAAAGAAAAACCAATTTACTGACTAGACTATAGGTAATCACTATGCTGTGATGGTGGAGAACATTAATAGGAATAATTTAAAGGCTAAAAAAGATAAACTCCAGAGCCTCTCCCATTCTCTGGAACTCCCTACCACAGTATGTCCGGTCAGCCCCCACCCTGTCTGCCTTTAGGCGATCTTTGAAAACTCACTTATTCAGTGAAGTGTACCCCACCTCCACCTAAGAACTGTACTTGAATCACCTCCACCAGATCATCCCCCGCAGCTATCACCTTTTGTATCACCTCCCCCTTCCTTTAGATTGTAAGCTCCACGAGCAGGGCCCTCATATTCCTTCTGTACTGAACTGTATTGTAATTGTACTGGCTCCCTTATATTGTACAGCGCTGTGCAAACTGTTGGCGCTATATAAAATCCTGCATAATAATAATAATAAACTAATTTGTCAGACAAATTTACCTCTTACCTGTCAATTAAGGTCTGAGCGGATGGAAACTGTCATATACTGTATCCCAACAATCACTCAACTGTAGGAGGTACAAGATGGAGCCCACAAGCAAACTAAACTTGAGCTTTTCCCTGCAGTCCCCCCCCCCCCCCCTCAGTGGCATAAATGTATATTTCTCTTCTTAGAGAACTGCATTGAGAAGTACAGTGTTACTTGAACTGTATTAGAGGATTTGCTTGTCTTCAGCTTGAGAGAACTTGCAATAATTTATGACTTTACATAAAGTCTCAGGAATCTTTCATTAAGGTCTTAATGTTATATAGTGTGAATACCATGTCATAGATATATTATTTATCATTGTAAAAGAAAATATTTCACACTTCTATTTCCTTTTTCACTTCTTCATTTTTTCACTTTTTCCTTTATCACTTCTCATTCCTAGTTCCTAAGACCCTAAGCAGAAAAAATAAAATTACACATTTTTAATCCACCCCTTCAGACACTCTGTTTAATGCAGCGGTTCTCAACCTGGGGGTCGCGACCCCTTTGGGGGTCGAACGACGCTTCCACAGGGGTCGCCTAAGACCATCGGAAAACACATATTTCCGATGGTCTTAGGAACCGAGACACCGCTCCTCGCTGCCGCCGCCGCCGCCGTCTCCAGGTGTGGGCGGGATGACATGCCGCCCCTGTCATCTGGACACACCTCGAGATCAATCCTTGCCTGTGATTGGCCGCCGGCACTGTAGCTCAGGAGAGGCACACAGGCGGCCAATCACTGGCAAGGAGGTGGAGCTTGGAGAGGAGGAGCCGAGCGGCACGCGAAGATGGAGCGAGTGAAGAGGAGGAGAGCGGCCGGAGAAGGAAGACAGCTGACAGGTAAGTGTGTACCATGGGAGAGGGAGCGAGCGAGCGAGCGAGCCCAGGCTGGAGCAGGGTCAGCAAGGTAAGTATCATTGGTGTCAGTGGGAATAGTGCCCCATCATTGGTGTCACTAATACCAATAATGGGGCACTATTCCTCCCACTGACACCAACGATGGGGCACTATTCCTCCCACTGACACCAACGATGGGGCACTATTCCTCCCACTAACACCAACGATGGGGCACTATTCCTCCCCCAAGTGACACCAACGATGGGGCACTATTCCTCCCCCACTGACACCAAGGATGGGGCACGATTCCTCCCCCCACTGACACCAAGGATGGGGCACGATTCCTCCCCCCACTGACACCAAGGATGGGGCACGATTCCTCCCCCCCCACTGACACCAAGGATGGGGCAGTATTCCTCCCCCCACTGAACACCAAGGATGGGGCAGTATTCCTCCCCCCACTGACACCAAGGATGGGGCAGTATTCCTCCCCCCACTGACACCAAGGATGGGGCAGTATTCCTCCCCCCACTGACACCAAGGATGGGGCAGTATTCCTCCCCCCACTGACACCAAGGATGGGGCAGTATTCCTCCCCCCACTGACACCAAGGATGGGGCACTATTCCTCCCCCCACTGACACCAAGGATGGGGCACTATTCCTCCCCCCACTGACACCAAGGATGGGGCACTATTCCTCCCCCCACTGACACCAAGGATGGGGCACTATTCCTCCCCCCACTGACACCAAGGATGGGGCACTATTCCTCCCCCCACTGACACCAACGATGGGGCACTATTCCTCCCCCAAGTGACACCAACGATGGGGCACTATTCCTCCCCCACTGACACCAAGGATGGGGCACGATTCCTCCCCCCACTGACACCAAGGATGGGGCAGTATTCCTCCCCCCACTGACACCAAGGATGGGGCAGTATTCCTCCCCCCACTGACACCAAGGATGGGGCAGTATTCCTCCCCCCACTGACACCTATGATGGGGCACTATTCCTCCCCCCACTGACACCTATGATGGGGCACTATTCCTCCCCCCACTGACACCTATGATGGGGCACTATTCCTCCCCCCACTGACACCAATGATGGGGCACTATTCCTCCTCCCACTGACACCTATGATGGGGCACTATTCCTCCCACTGATACCAATGATGGGGCACTATTCCTCCCACTGATACCAATGATGGAGCACTATTCCTTCCACTGACACCAATGATGAGGCACTATTCCTCCCACTGACACCAATGATGGGACACTATTCCTCCCACTGATACCAATGATGGGACACTATTCCTCCCACTGATACCAATGATGGAGCACTATTCCTTCCACTGACACCAATGATGAGGCACTATTCCTCCTACTGACACCAATGATGAGGCACTATTCCTCCCACTGATACCAATGATGGGACACTATTCCTCCCACTGATACCAATGATGGGGCACTATTCCTCCCACTGATAGCAATGATGGGGCACTATTCCTCCCACTGACACCAATGATGGGGCACTATTCCTCCCACTGACACCAATGATGGGGCACTATTCCTCCCACTGACACCAATGATGGGGCACTATTCCTCCCACTGATACCAATGATGGAGCACTATTCCTCCCACTGACACCAATGATGGGACACTATTCCTCCCACCGACACCAATGATGGGGCACTATTCCTCCCACCGACACCAATGATGGGGCACTATTCCTCCCACAGATACCAATGATGGGGCACTATTCCTCCCATTGATACCGATGATGGGACACTATTCCTCCTCCCACAGACACCTATGATGGGGCACTATTCCTCCCACTGATACCAATGATGGAGCACTATTCCTTCCACTGACACCAATGATGAGGCACTATTCCTCCTACTGACACCAATGATGAGGCACTATTCCTCCCACTGATACCAATGATGGGGCACTATTCCTCCTACTGACACCAATGATGAGGCACTATTCCTCCCACTGATACCAATGATGGGGCACTATTCCTCCCACTGATACCAATGATGGGACACTATTCCTCCCACTGATACCAATGATGGGGCTCTATTCCTCCCACTGACACCAATGACGGGGCACTATTCCTCTCACTGACACCAATGATGGGGCACTATTCCTCCCACTGATACCAATGATGGGGCACTATTCCTCCCACTGACACCAATGATGGGGCACTATTCCTCCCACTGATACCAATGATGGAGCACTATTCCTCCCACTGACACCAATGATGGGACACTATTCCTCCCACTGACACCAATGATGGGGCACTATTCCTCCCACTGATACCAATGATGGGACACTATTCCTCCCACTGACACCAATGATGGGGCACTATTCCTCCCACTGACACCAATGATGGGGCTCTATTCCTCCCACTGACACCAATGACGAGGCACTATTCCTCCCACTGACACCAATGACGGGGCACTATTCCTCCCACTGATACCAATGACGAGGCACTATTCCTCCCACTGACACCAATGACGGGGCACTATTCCTCCCACTGACACCAATGACGGGGCACTATTCCTCCCACTGACACCAATGACGGGGCACTATTCCTCCCACTGACACCAATGACGGGGCACTATTCCTCCCACTGACACCAATGACGGGGCACTATTCCTCCCACTGACACCAATGACGGGGCACTATTCCTCCCACTGATACCAATGACGGGGCACTATTCCTCCCACTGACACCAATGACGTGGCACTATTCCTCCTACTGCAAAATTACAGTTATGAAGTAGCAACGAAAATAATTTTATGGTTGGGGGTCACCACAACATGAGGAACTGTATTAAGGGGTCGCGGTGTTTAGAAAGGTTGAGAACCACTGGTTTAATGGATATTTATCATTCCTTTCATGGAGTTAATATAGTTTTTTTGCATTTTAATTTTACTCAAGGACAGATGTCATATTTACACAGTACAGCTTTTCATTTAAAAAAAATGTCATTGGCTAATCTTTAAATCTGAAGGACATGCAAAAATCTTTGGCTTACTCCTATTTTTTTTCAAAAGTACGTACTATAGAAAGGTGCATTTCCAGCACTGGTGGTTGCACCTTAAAATACAATTGACAAAGAGACATACTGAACAATGATGCAGAGATAATGCATGGCCCTCTGCAAACATATTTCAAAAACACTATATATAGGGTTTCAAGGAAAGTAGTGCCAGCAGAGTCAGGCATCAGTAGCACATTGCAGATGTTTCCAATATTTTTATGTGCAATTACAAGGGACTCATTTATCATTGAGAATAAGGATAAACAGTAGTCCCAGGGGAGTGAAAATGTCAATGGCCAGCTATCACACTAACCTTGTTTCTGTAGCATCATGCCATACAGTAAGCTGTAGGATAAGAACCAGACAGATATCTCAGATGTGTCATGTCCTCTAAAAAAATATAAATAATTAATAATTTGGCCTGCAGGATTGATCAGTGGCCTCAACTGGTTTAGACTGCCATAGAGGGCACTCCCTCTCACACTCCAGAATGTAGTGTGCTTAGCACAGAAAATGATGTTACAGAAAAGCCTACCAAAGTTTTATGCACCCACCAGATTCTCATTTCCTATTTAACACAGCCAGATGGAAAAACAGACATGCCAAACAAGTTAAAATAATAGAGAAAAAATGTTGTTAATGAAAAACCTGCACCCACTGAACCCCAAACCAACAGTTGATCCAAAAGAAGTCAAAAAGCGCTTAAGGCATTGGATGTTCCCTGGATCAACAATCTACAATCTTGTTTCCAATAGATAATAATTGTCAGTTATATTCTAGAGAAGCATACCCATGCATAAGCATACTCTGGAAGTCCAATTTCACTCTTACTGTTAAGAAGCCTATTAATTACACTTTTTAATCCCCCCCAAAAAAAGGTTAAAAAAACACAAAATTCCCAACAGGAAACTTGCTGTTCTTCTCCACTTTTATGTCCTTCTCCCTGTTCGACATTTGGTTCAGCATAAAGAAACTTTAACCATGTCCAAGGTCCTCCAAACCTTTCACCAGAAAAAAAAATTCTTAGCAATGTCCCATTAGCAAACACCTTTCTTCTGTATTTTGAGTATCTCTGTTCTCCATCATTCTCACATACAGTGCCATATAACTGATAATGATAATATAACTGGATACTAACATTTATAGGTAAAGTTGATCCAGGGAATATCTGATTGCCTCTGGGGGAATCAGGAAGGATTTTGAAACCCTGCAGGAGCAAATTGGATCATGCTTTGCTGGTTTTTTGCCTTCCTCTGGATCACCTCTGGGTATAGGATTATAACTTGTTTTTTATGGTTGAACTAGACCTGGCATGCCCAAAGTCCGGCCCGCGGGCCAATTGCGGCCCGCGTTCCGGACTAAAACGGCCCCACAGGTGAGCTACCCAAATATATAACTTACGGCCCCCGGTAGTGATTCCCTGAAAGCTACTGAGGACTCCAGCGATCTCTTGACATCATCAGCTGGCGCAGGAAGGAGAGCCCAAATCTCGCGACGTCCGAGATCTCGTGAGATTTGGGCTTTCCTTCTCTGTGTGCCGGCTGATGACGTCAATTCCCGCTCGACAGATCCCTGGAGTCCTCGGTGGCGTTCGCAGAATCACTAGTGGAGGGCCGTAAGTTATATATTGGGCAGCTCATCTGTGGGGTCCGGAACGTGGGCCGAGGGATCCCAGGTGGTGCGCAGGGAATTACTACTGGGGCTACCATTTACCGTATTTTTCGCTTCATAAGACGCACTTTTTTCCCCCCAAAAAAGGGGGGGAAATGTCAGTGCGTCTTATGGAGCAAATATAAAGCGGCCGGTCCGGTATTTCTGCCGCCACCATGTCAGAATACCGGGCCGGCCACTCAGCTGTTGTCTCCTGCAGGGCCTTACCTGTTCCTCGCTCCAGCGCTGCACAGTCTTCCCGCGCTGGCTTCTGTGACAGCCGGGTGCCCACTGCGCATGTGCTGAGCTTTGTGAATGGTCATCGCAGTCTCTGGTCATCTCCTGTACTGTGTCCGCAGTCTCTGGTCATCTCCTGTACTGTGTCCGCAGTCTCCGGTCATCTCCTGTACTGTGTCCGCAGTCTCTGGCCATCTCCTGTACTATGTCCGCAGTCTCTGGCCATCTCCTGTACTGTGTCCGCAGTCTCTGGTCATCTCCTGTACTATTTTTGCAGTCTCTGGTCATCTCCTGTACTATGTTTGCAGTCTCTGGTCATCTCCTGTACTGTGTCCGCAGTCTCTGGTCATCTCCTGTACTGTGTCCGCAGTCTCTGGTCATCTCCTGTACTGTGTCCGCAGTCTCTGGTCATCTCCTGTACTGTGTCTGCAGTCTCTGGTCATCTCCTGTACTGTGTCCGCAGTCTCTGGTCATCTCCTGTACTGTGTCCGCAGTCTCTGGTCATCTCCTGTACTGTGTCCGCAGTCTCTGGTCATCCCCTGTACTGTGTCCGCAGTCTCTGGTCATCTCCTGTACTGTGTCCGCAGTCTTTGGTCATCTCCTGTACTGTGTCCGCAGTCTCTGGTCATCTCCTGTACTGTGTCCGCAGTCTCTGGTCATCTCATGTACTATGTCTGCAGTCCATTGGTTCAGAATTTTTTTTTTTCCTGTTTTTCGCCTCTAAAACCTAGGTGCGTCTTATGGTCAGGTGCATCTTATGGAGCGAAAAATACGGTATCAATTTGGGCTATAATGGATTGGTGCTCAGGATCGCTTGACGTCATCAGACAGTGCAAGGAGAAACAAAGCCCAAATCTCGCGACCTCCGAGATCTCGCGAGATTTGGGTTTTCCTTCTCCCTGTGCTGGCAGAGTGATTTAACACCTGTTTAGATTTGTCATCCAAGTTACAAAATGAAAAGTATGCTGTTTTCAATAAACTTTTGCATAAAATAGTTCATTTGCATTTAATTTTAATGGTTCATCAGAATGTCGGGCAAAATGGTCGGCCCTCGCACATGTTCACTTCATCAAATCTGGCACTCTTCCAAAAAA